GTGCTGCTTAATATTTTTAGTGGAAACTTAAAATAAAACAACAACAACAAAAAAATCAGGATCCTTGCTGAATATATATATATATATATATACTTTTCAAACACGTGTACACACACTTATATGTAAACTACATTTTCAGCATTTTATTAGTCTTATTAAATTTTTTTGTCTACGTTCTTGCTAAAAAAACAACATAAATTAGCTCAAATGTTTGTATAGAGGTGTTTGATTTGTTGGATACTATAGAAACGATCCTATTGTAGGTCAATGCAATAGGAACACTGTTTATTAAGTAATTTCTGTGTTCCTGAATAGTATTCCTGTAACAAACTTCTAATGCTTTCTCATACCTACAGTGACATCTAGTGGCTATATGTGGTTTTACATGAAAAGGTCCCAGTTGGTTTTATTACCATATGCCCTTGAGTGCATCCAATGAATATTCTGCTGACAAAAGAAATACTGTCACTGTCTTCTGTCAAATCTTTCAGTGATATTTGGGTCAAAGACGAGACTTCCGAATCAAATAAAATGTACTAAAGTGATAGTAAAAATGTAGTAGTGAAAAAAAAAAAAAAGAAATGGGTAAAATAATGTTCCAAAGTGTTAAATAAACTTGAAATACCAAGCTTAAATATGCAGGCAGCATCACTGATTCTTGAGATAAGGGACACAACATGTTTTAGTTTATTTTATTTAGTAATGCATTATTACAAACTGCTATATTTGTAGACAAAGGTCTCAGTTTTGTTTTGTTTTTTTAGTTCTGTGCTTCGTTATTATTATTTGTGTTAATTAAAATCTGGTTCTTTAACAAAAGGGTTTAATTTGGCACATTGAAATACTAACATGTATGAACAGTAGGTGTCACTAAGGTACCAAATTTCTAGTTGGACAAATTATTAAAATTTAAGCTCTGCTTAAATGAATAGATTAATCTATTAATCAAAATTAATAATCTATTAACCTAGATTAATCCTTATTAAAAGCATTCTTTAGTCCAGAGCAGTTAGCAATTTTCTCAGTTACCTTTGTTGTTTGGTCACTTTAAGATTAGTCGCTGCTGACAGGATCTCACTAATCTCATTCTCTTACTACTCTTTACTTACATTTAAAATTTGATTTAACTCATTTAAGACATTTTGGCATAAGGGTGATTCTTCAATTAGGGGAGCTTTTATGTCCCCAGCTTATACAGTACAATACTATTAAAAATACAATATTATAAAATAAATATTTCAAATAATATGTATTGCACCACCAAAAAATGTTATACAATAAAATCAGTATGATTTCCATTTTTTAAAATGTTTTCATTATATTTGGCAACTCAGGCCTTGTCCCCAACCCAGACTTTAAAACTTATCTGCTCTGAAAATGTGATAAAATGTTATCAGTTCATTAAAAAAAAAATCACAATATATGTAACGTAACTTAATATGTAACTTAGTAACTTAAAAAGGCACTTGATGCATAATTTGGGTTCATATCTGTGCAATTTGTGAATATTTTTAACAATTTACTATTGCCCACAACAATACTGTCATTATCGCAACAGCCTATGATTACAACAAGGATATTTCTAAGGGTGAGACTTGTTTATCCCGTAACCATGGAAATGAAGACTAGTAGTGGAGCACATGTCAGCCATGAAAGGACAGTGAAATTTGATGTCTGAAAAAGTGAGTAATTTAATCATGAATTCCTGCTGATCATGGAGTAGACTTATTCAGCATCATTACCATAAATGTTGTAGCAGCAATATTTTGATAAATATAAATCCACATGATTTATGTGTATTTAAAGTTATTTTTGTACTAGCTGTTGAGCAATGTTAGCAAAACCATTACCTAGCATCTTTTTTCTGAAAAAAAATTAAAAATGTCATTACCGCAACACATCATTACCAACACACAACTTGTTGTGATGGTAATCACAAGTGATGGTGGTAATGACGTGTTCCGTGTCACTATCTATATCATATTGTGTATTTATAAATTGAGTTAAAGAAGCATAAGTGTGATTTTACAATGAAACTCAAGTGAGATGTCTTCCTAAAGCTATTTTTTCTTATTTTTTTAACCAGAATGGCTCCCAAGAAGTCAACTGAAAGGTCTAGAGATTATAGAAAAAAATTTAAGGAAAATCCAGTAAAATATAAGCAGTACATTGACAGAGAAAAGGAAATATACAAAAGAAGAAAAGAAACAGAGAGTTCATCCTTCTGACTCCTCTGAGAAAGCAGATGATAAGCGAAGCATGTATTGTGGAGAAGCCAGAGCTAATCCAGATAGACCGCCCATCCTTCGGGTTTGCAACATTGTTGCTTCCTTGGGTGTTCCGCCCTTACGCACTTGATGTGGCCCTGACAACAGCGTTGCAGGCTAGCCCTCCACGCTACCTGAGGTCCCAATGGCCCTCAATAGGCAAGTGATGGGTTCTGCTTGGCCTGCCGAATGGGTCACCTAGAGGCTCAGTGTTAGGCCTCCACAGACTTTGAGCATGGAGAGGGATCTTCCCTTGTCCAACAGCTCTTGAAGCAACCGCGGGACTCCGCACCTTCGTGTGTCCGGGTTTTTGTCAGCGCACCATTTAGAGAACACAGACCATTTAGAAGCGTAGAGTCTTCTGGTAGAAGGAGCTCTAGACTGCGTGATTGTGTTCAGCACTGCATCTGGCAGGGCAACGGGTATCCGTTGATCAACGAGACCAACGCTCTGGATGGGGATGCCAGATCGAGCCGCGAGCTTGAGAGAGGAGGTCTGCTCTCAACGGGATCGACCACAGGGCTTTCTGTGACAGCCGAGTTAGCTCTAGGAATCAATTCTGGTTCTCCCATCGCAGGGCTATGAGAAGTACTGCATGGCATGTTTCCCTTATTTTCTTGATTACCTGTGGCAATAGAGATACCGGAGGGAAAGCATATAGTGGACGGCTGGGCCAAGTTTGGGCCAAGTTTGCGCTTGCGCAACTTGGCCATGTAATAGAGCGGGCAGATAGTAGATGTGAGTATGGACTCAGGGGCACATCTGCTACAGTCAACACTCGAGTGCCATTTGCCAGCTTTTTTAGCGTGGGCTCTGTGTGAGACAAGGGAAGTGCTGTGTTTACGTGTAGGGGTGAGCACTGAGTTGTGGGCACCTTTACTACACTTAAAACATTGTCAGGGTGAGTGGCGGCGTGGGCGGCGTGTATGTTTGTAAGTGTGGGTGCTCGTGGGCGGGCACGAGACTTACGTTTATATTCTGACTCATGTGAGGCTGCACTCCATGGTGCGTGCGCGCCGTGTGCGAAGTGCATGTTAGTAAGCATGAGCACTTGCGAGCGGGCACGAGACTTACATAGCCTGACTGATACGAGGCTGCACTTTGTGATGCGTGCGGCACCGATTTAGCAGTGTTGTAGTACTCGAGACTCAGACTCGTCTCGGACTCGGTCTCGAGACCATATTTTAATGGTCTTGGTCTTGTCATGGACTCGTGTCCATTTGGACTCGGAATTGACTCGTACTCGAACATTTTTTTTTTTTAGGACTCGGAATTATTCCCAAGTCCACTCGAGTTCAATTAAAAATATTTTTCATGATTATTAATGTATGAAGAGTTCAGATGCAAAAGCCTCTAAAAGCCATTTGAAATTTTCTTCTTTAATGATGATTTTTATCAAACTTGTATATTTAAGTTCAGTAATTTCACTTAAATAACAATTAATAGGTAATTATCATTGCCATTTAAGTGAAATTACTGAACTTAAATATACAAGTTTGATAAAAATCATGATTAAAGGAGAAAATTTCAAATGGCATTTAGAGGCTTTTGCATCTGAACTCTTCGTATGTTAATAAAATATTTCTTTAAATTGATTGACACGCCCAGTGATTGGTGATTTTCTAGTGCGCAACTGCGCATGACAAATTGTAATAAAATTACTTTTAACACCACCTACTATGTGGCCTATTTACCCTAAACTGATCATATTTTTTAAACTCTAAGTAAATTCAGTAAAAAAAAAAAAAAAAAAGGATTTCTCTAAGTAAATAGAAGTAAATTAGGTAATCAAACCTCACTGGTCTCGGTCTCGACTCGGACTCGACCGTCTCTGGTCTCGGACTCGACTCGGTCTTGACTCGGACTCGACTCTCTCTGGTCTCGGTGTCGACTCGGACTCGAGTGAGGTGGTCTCGACTACAACACTGCGATTTAGCACCTTGTTACCTTTCAGAATTAATACACCCTTATGTCCCTGCCCGTACGCTGAGATCAAGTTCTGAAAATTTGCTTGCAGTTTCTAAGTTTAAACTTTCTACTGTTAATGGCATTCAGCATTTCAGCTCCTAATCTTTTAAACAAACTCCCACAACACCTCCACGCTCTCTCCTCCCTCCAGACTTTAAAAGTCAAAAGTTATTTATTTACACTACGATCTGTCAACTGATCATATACTTTAAATTTCAGATCCATGCATGGCTTACTGGTTTTCTTTCGTACTGTATGTAATATGATCACTGTCTGTCTGCCTATTCATGTTGTTATATCCTGATTATATTAGTAACTGTCAATATTATGTAAAGTGTCCTTGGGTTTTTGAAAGGCGCTAAATAAATAAAACATATTATTATTAATTCATTAATTTGGTAAAATACTGGTTATTTCTATAGCAAAAGATTCCCAGCAAAATAAAATGTATTGAAGTGAATCATAAGTTCTGTTATCCCATAGAATTGTATTGTAGAAATGACTGCTGTTAAATTGAGAAAGAGAAACATCTATGATGAAATTACTTCAGAGAGAAATTACAGATCCACTCGCTTAACCAGTGCACCACATGTTCCCTCCACAGATGTATTTCCCTTTTTTGCTTTACTGCAAACAATAGATCATATAACGTCAAAACTAGACGTTAGAATACCTACAGTACGTATTTTAATAAGATGAATAATGCAAATGTAGCAAATGGGGCTTTACAAAAGTGCACAAGTTCCTTATGTGCCTGTTTTAGGCAACTGTTTGCTGCATCCTGTGCTGGTCATAGAAGTGGAAGTTATGCGGTTTCAGACTGAGTACTTGCTGTCCTGAGGAAGGAACACTCACTTGACTAGATTCTACCTTCTCTGAAAATGTGCTCCACATCACTTCATCTCCTCATTGGTATGTTTGTTTAAAGATGTGTATTTTTAAAACATTTGTGTAACTGCTAAATCTGAGCAAATAGCTAATTGAAAACAAGTAAAGGAGGATACTTAATTAAGATTAAACTTCTATTTCTTGTTGGGTAGCAAGAGTAGCAATTTGCTTTCCACTGTTCATCCAGCTACTGTTGTAATTGTAATTTATTGATTCCATAATGTGGAAATGAAATAGTTCTGTTCCTCATTACCTGACCTTTCTCTGGTACAATGCAGGTGCCTTACTTGTTCTTGCTGTTGAAAATGAGGCCACAACCATGATAACCAGCACAGAAGCCAACACTGCTCTTTCAATGTCTATCGACAACACCACCATACTAAATGAAACCTCAGTGGACATTCTGAACAACTTAACCACTTCATTCCCTCCCAACTCCACTGTCATACTGTCAAGCACCACGGATGTGAATATGTCAGATTACAAATCAGGTAGCTTTTTTATTTTTGCTTGATTTGATTTTATTCATGTGTCTACACACCTAATGTCATCATTGTAGGATTGGTGGGAAACCTGTAGTGTCGCTTGTTGCATTGAACCTCTAACTAAAATAAGGTCACATTTGGGTATCTTTTTTGCCTTCTTTTTGGCCAATAGATTTACCTACTGATCCTTCAGAAAATCCACAGACCAACAATGACACCACAGGCGATCCTCAAGAGAATGTTCCAACACCCAGCACAAAAGAGATGAAAAGCACAACCATAAAAACAACCAGTAAGTTAGAAAATACTGTTTTATTTTGCACAAACGAGCAATGTGAGGAATTTGTTTTAATATCCAATTGTAACCTGAGCCTGAGTCATTCCTACACAGGAAGGAAGCGTGTCGTGTGGCTTAGCAAAGTTATAAAACTGTCATCACTGGTAAAAAATAAATGATTTATATCAATAACCTACAGCAAGCAAAAAACTGGAACAAAAGTCTGCTGAATAACAGTCCAAAATTAGAGCATAAATTGGTCATTCACCTATTCACCTTATTTTTATTGTTATTTTTATTATTACAGCAACTCAACCACAAAAAAATGAGCAAAGCCATGGGGCAAGTGAGTGATTTTTTCTATTTATTGTCAGTTCATGTTTTATTTAAGCTTTGTTTATTTTTAATTGGTTTAATTGTTGTTCTTGACTATTCTTACTGTTTTATTTATTTATTATTATTTTTTTTCAACAGCTTACATAATTATTCTGATTATTGTTGTTGTGTGCATATCTGGGGTAGTAATTTATTGTTGCCTTCAAAAGAAGTCCAGGGTAAGAGATTTTTTTTTTATTTATATTTTATTGGGAAACCAATAATAGCATTTAATAGCATTACATTTGATGGTTTCCTGTACATTTGATATTTTATAATTATTACATTGGGTATATGAACTAAACACTAATCTTTGTCTAATGCAGAAGTTCTCAGTCGACTTGCATCCAAAACAGGAAGATGCTCAGATCCCACTCAGCACAGTGGATGTAGAGGTGTTTGACACCACATTAGACAAAGGTACCAGATATTCCTAACTTTCTATCACAGGGATTTCTCTAACTATACTGACCTTGTGCTATAACTGTTCCCGAAGATATGCAAACATTTACTCCTGTCGAGTCCACTGAGCCATTAAAGAACCTTGAAACTGTGAAGGAAGCAGAAAAGCCTGAGGAAGGGAAAGGTAATCACTTCATCTTGAGAGATGCATTATAGCTAAAATTAATTTCACCACAAAATGTATGTAGTGGTTTCATACATTATGATTTTAAAAGGTAAATCAATGAAATCACTATTGAAACAAGTGTTGTGTGTGTGTGTGTGTGTGTGTGTGTGTGTGTGTGTGTGTGTGTGTGTGTGTGTCTGCAACATGATGTGTGTGTGTGTGTGTGTGTGTGTGTAAAGCTTCCATGTTTCTGAACCGAAGTAAACTGCAAAAGTGAATCTTTGATATTAAATTAATAAATCAAATGTAATTATATAAGTACTATCATTCTAAAGTTTGGGGTCAGTCATTTTTTTAAAGAAAGTAATTATTTTATTCAGTAAGGATGAATACAATTTTTCAAATAAATGTTTTGTTCATCAAATAATCCTGAGAAATATATAAATATCATGGTTTCCACACAAATGTTAAATGCATTGATAATAAAAAAGCCCCATATTACCATATCAGAATGTTTTCTGAGGTATCATGTGTCTTACTCAGTGGTGGAGGAAGTACTGAATCTCAGTACTTAAGTAAAAGTACAAATACCAAGATAAATATTTACTTTAGTAAAGGTAGAAGTAACACAATGACAACCATACTTAAGTAAAAAGTAAAAAGTACTTTATTTTAAATGTACTTTAAGTATTAAAAGTAAAAGTACTTGCATAACAATTTATTCTCTTAATGTCTATTTTCTAATGATTAATAAAACATTTAATTGTAACTCATTCAACCCAATACTCCTATAATGATGTTCAATAATGATGGAAAAAATGTCACCATTTCTGAAACAAGCTTGCAATTAGGCAATATACACATCATGCTTATCCTTACTATATGTTAATAACTATGTTTGGCAGTAAACGAGATTAATTTATGGTGTAATTCTGAACCTCTTGGCTTTCCATAATCCTAACCAAACCAAACATATATTACACACAGTGTGTTTCCTATGCACGTAAAAACAAATTTTCGCGTATGAGTTGCACGATAAACACACTGCGCGTGAGACGCATTTAGTGTGACCGGGTTGATATACTGTAGCCTATCTATGGCAACCAAACGTCACTGGTGAGACAAACGTGCAACGAACGGACAGTCAGATTACGTTTTGGCAGGGGAAAAACTGATCAGAAAATGTAACGAAAATGTAACAGAAGTTTTAGAAATGTAGTGGAGTAGAATAATAGCTGCAAAATGTAACGAAGTAAAAGTAAAAAGTATGCACTATTTATTGTACTTAAGTAAAGTAAAGATACGTGAAAAATGTACTTAAGTAAAGTAACGAAGTATTTGTACTTCGTTACATTCCACCACTGGTCTTACTGACCCCAACTGTACTGAAAGTTCCTAAACTATCTGGACTACTGTACTAAACTCCAAAATGCACGCCTAATATGCTTTATTCTACAGCAAAAAATAGGGTTTTGTCCATTATCCCAGGGGTTCTTTTAGTAAAGTAAAACTGGTGACTAGAAACCTGAAGAAAAAGAATACTAGTTGCAATAACAGAGAGCTCCACTGGATGGACTTCTAAGATAAGAGTAAATATCTGTACTCTCTACTCAGTACATTTTACACCAATGACAAAACAGTGGTGGAAAAAAACGGCATTATCAAATTAGGGCCAGCTTCTTGAACGTACTCCCTTCATGTAAAATCCATGAACGTCCAAAGGATTAAACCCTTGCAATTTCCACGAAACTTCAACTTCAATGGTTGTGCAGCTTTGTAAGAATATATGTGCACAATTCTAGAATCTATACAATAAAAAAAACAAAATTGCTCTTATAAAGAGCAAATAGATGTGAAAGTTCTAGCTCTGAACAAAACTTATTTATCTTGAATGATATTATAGTCTCTTCCAGCAACCATTATCTGAAGAAGTGAGCCTGCTTGGACATGTTTCAATGCTTTAGCAGTTAGGAAATTACCACTTTTGACCAGAGGCAACTGGTCTTTGTGTCTGATCCATACCATCTGGAAGACCCATAACAGAAATAAGATGACTTTGGCTGTCTGGGTTTGCTCATTGGAATATAAGGAATACTGCTTGATGTGGGCTTGAAATGCTTTTTTATTAATCTACTGCCATGTTCATTCAGTTAATCAAAAGAGGTAATGAAAAGTAATACAGATGGTTAAAATGTAATTTCTTTTACATATTTCCGTTTGGTAATGTAAATGTAAATATTTTAATTTGTTATTGTGCATGTGTTTAGATTTTGGCTCTTTCCCAAACAATCTATTGAAAATTGAAGAGTAAAGGTGACAGCAGTTTACTGGAAATAATGACAGCTGTGTTACACCCTAATAACTTTTGCAACAGGAAATGACACTATTTGTCTAGCAGTTTGAGGAACCTTAGAAGTTCCCCTAATAACGGCATTGTCATTTTTTCAGCAGCAGAGATACACATGATCATTAATGTATTGGGGTTCAAAGTGACCCAACATGGTATGCTTTTATTAAATATATTTTATTAAAAACATTTATTTATTTAATATTCCATGAATTAAAAAAAAAAATCTGTGAATTTATATTAGTACATTTAAAACAAACGCAGGCAGGCTCCTCGTTTCTACCCCTTTATATCGAACTGATTAATTTTAGGCCAGTTACAATTTAACCTGTACTTGCGTTTATGGATTAGGTTGTGAACACCTTGTAAAATACTAGACAAAACGACAAAATAAAAGTAACAAGCACAACTAACAAAAGAGGGTAGTGGGGCTATTTACCTGCAGCAAGCAATTGGAATTGCTTAACAGCACAGCAATACTTCCTAGTTTCTCTTCACCCCCCTGTAATCATGGTTCTTTTCCCACCAAATAATTACTGCCTTTCATTGATAAGCTCCACAGGCTCCATTTTAGGAACTAATGGATCTCAATCCATTTCCTGGCTTTAGTGGCTTTATTAATCTAAAACCACCTCCAGGTGTAAATCAACCAGTGTGAGTGAGTGAGAAACAATGAGAGAGGGATAGAAAATGACCATGGAGTAAAAAATATAACAGAAGTGCATTGAAATTACATAGTTGATAATGGTTTTACGATGCCCCTTCATCTAGTAAATACTGACTTTCCAGTCATAAGGCTCTGTTTCTACCACCTGCTCATTTCTAAAACTGCTAATTTTCAAGATTTACTGCACTGAAAATGATAGGAACACAAAAGGTTTAAGACCACTAAGGCCAGACATCCAGGTGTTTCTTGTGTAGTTTTGTTTTTAGAGTAGTAGAGTAGTAGATTTTTTGGGAAACAAATACTCAATAGTACAGCTTAAATAGTTTTTTTTTTAGTTCTAGTTCTAATTTAATTTAATGTGTTTTAGTTCCTTTTGGTTTTCATTAAGTTGGTGTGAACAGACATTTTGTGAATATTAATTTAGCTCTTTATCTGAACTGATCTTAAGGCACTTGTACGTGACTATTTTTACAATGATGAATTAAAGGTCCCGATATAGCTACTCACAGTGGAGTTTTACAACTTTTTTGTTCTTTGCCTAGGGGTAAAATGAAGTTCAAAATATTGTTTCAGAAGTATACAGTTAGCGAACATCCCGAACAATTATGTACTTTAAACTTGATTGTGTGACACATCATTCTTTTAGAAATAATTGAGAACCATTATAAGAATCATTGCCAAAAACATATTAAAATACATTTTCCCTACAGAATCGGTTGATGTTAATCAAGAAAACCAACAGACTCAGGCCAAAGTCCCAAAGGACAAAACAGAGGAGATGACTGTAGTGGATATATCTGATGTAGAACCTACGATTTCCACCAAGACTTCAATGGAATCCTTAGATGATGTTCTCAATGAAAACAACAGCAACGATACAAGCGCTAAAGGTTAGTGGAAATGTGAGAACTTTTTTTAATGTCAGTTACACTGTCCATGTTTTGTGGACTGAGATATGATCTTTATACCATAAGATTAAAGGGATAGTTCACTCAAAATTAAAATTATGTCATTAATTACTTACCATCATGTCACTCCATCCAAACCCATAAGACTTTAGTTTTTCTTTAATAAAAAATGAAGGTCTTACGGTCCCCTTCATAGACAGCTATGCAACTACCACTTTAACGCTTCATAAAACTAATCGATATGAATCAAGTTGTTTAGACTAAATTTCCGGAAGAGATACAATCACTTTATATAATGAACAGACTGAATTTAGGATTTTAGACTTTTTTTCATAGTTCAAGGGTAACTTGGCAACTCTAGCCATTTCTTCGCTGATTTTCATTTTTGTTGTCGCATGTTTTCTCATCGAGCTCCCCCTACAGCTGTGGGGGGTATATTTCACACACACAAACGACACCCTCCTCCCCCTTTTTACCGATTACTTATGTGCATTTGTTATTATCGGAGCTGGCTAACTTTATCGTGTGGAGCTATGTCTACTGAGGCGTGTAATACATCATACATAGTTTCATAAAATTATGTCGAATTGCCATAAAGCAGTTTGTGTTTCTCACTCGTTCTCGTTTCTCACAACACTTCCTATTTCCAATTTAACGGGACTTTAGTCTCCATGTTGCAAGATGGTTTTCCACCTGGGAACTGTCATAATTGAAGACAGGAAGCATAAATCATAAAAAAGCATAAAGCATAAAAGTCCAGACAGGAGAGTGAATACGGGTGGTGCAGGGAGTTCGATGGTCAGATCCAGACAGCAGGTGCAGTGATGAAGTGAACCAGTGAAACGTGATGGTAATTAATGGCGGATGGCGAGAATACGGGCTTAACTTTATATATGTGAAAGACGGGATGAATCCTCCTGTATGCCGGAGGCAAGTTGAGGTGAACTGCCACTGGGCTAATGATCTTGGTGACAGTGAACAGGCCAATACATTTGGGAGCACGTTTATTAGAAACAGAGCGGAAAGGAATGTTCCTTGTTGAAAGCCACACTTTCTGACCAACAACATACAGTATATGGGAGGCTTTGACCAGTGGCGATCGGCCTTAGCTTTGGTGCACTCCCCCACTTGCACCAGAGTAGAGTGTCACAGGCTCTAGTCCAAGTGCAGTGACACCTCTGGGAAAAATTGATGGCTGGTAACCAAAGCTACACTCAAACGGAGATAGACCCGTGGGCGACACTGGTAATGCGTTGTGAGCGTACTCCACCATGGACAGTTGTTGGCTCCATAAGGCAGGATTCTTGGAAACCAAACATCACAACACCCTCTCCAGATCCTGGTTGGCTCTCTCGGTTTGGCCATTGATCTGGGGATGAAACCCCGAACACAACAAACTAACTGACTAACAGTCGCTCCCAGTAACTTACAAAACTTCCGCCAAAATTTGGACACAAACTGGGGTGGCAATGTAAGCGATAGACATGATCTACGACTGTCAAGGTAATTTGGGAAAGGAAATAAAGTGAGCCGCCTTCGAGAACTGGTCCGCCTTCGAGAACTGGTAAAAACGACCGTGTTACCCTGGGAGTGCGGTGATAAAATCTAGTGTGATATCACCAGGGTCTCGAAGGGACAGGCAGTGGTAGATGTAACCCATCTGGGGCTCAATTTGAAGTCTTACCAATGGCACAAACCAAGCAAAGTTCTTTGGCGTAGGCCCCATCCATAGATCGTAATCCGAGGGTAGCGGATCAGCATTTCCTGTCTGAAGGGGCGCAGCCGACCCCCCAGGGAAGTATAGACGGGACCATCCTGGTGGTGGTGGGGAGGGTGGAGGTTGTTGTCGCGTCGGCATCTGCGAACTCAAACATGTTTAAGTACCGATCTTTTATATGACAAGAATAAAAATGTGATTGGATAACCTGAAGGTAACAAGTGACGCGGTAATTAAGTCTTCCTGGCAGAACTTATGCTAAAGCTTTCATTTCTGATGTATTCTAAGTTCTTGTCATCAATTCAGAGGATAAAAGGTACCCCTAACCCCTCTAACCAGTGACGCCATTCCTCCAACACTAACTTGACTGGCAACAACTCCCTGTAACCAATGTCGTAATTACTTTCGGCTGGGGATAAACGATGAGACAAAAAAACATGCAGGGATGTATCTTGTCGTCTGCAGAAGAGCGTTGGGATAGCAGTGCGCTTACCCCCACCTCTGACCTCCACCACAAACTGATGTAAAGGATCAGGGGCAATAAGGATGGGGGCTGAAACAAAGCAGCCTTTCAGTTCAGTAAACAAAGCTTCAGCTGTGTCTGACCACGTGAATGAAGTCCTGGGGGAGGTCAAGGCAGTCAGAGGTGCGGCTAGTTGACTGAAGTTAACTTGCCCTTAGGCGGAGACTTACCTGGCAGTAAATCTATGGCACAGTCATAGGGATGGATGCGGAGGAAGAGAAGCAGCACAATACTTACCGGGTACTTTGCGGGTCCACTCGAGGGTTGTGACGGATGAGCCAGGGGTGCCTGAGAACGATGGGTGTAAGGGGTGAATCCAGAATATATGTAAAAAAAAGAGTCTCAGAGTGGTTGCCTGATGTGATTAGGCTGATGTCTTCAGTGGTAAATTAAATGGTGTGGAGTTCTTGACCGTTGAGTGTGCGTACTGCAATCTTTTGTGAGAGGTTTGAGAGGGATCTGAAACTTGTGTGCAAATGTGTGGTCCATGAATTTACTCTCAGCCCAGGAGTCCATAAGTGTTTTACAGTCGTGGGTGTGGACTGACTATCTTAGTCTTACCGGGAGGAGCGTAGATGTGGTTGAGGTCTTCTCGGCAGAGATCCCACCTGGTAGTAGCCTCATACTTACCGGGCTTGGCCTTTTATCGGGCAGTTGTACTGTAGGTGTAGTAGTCCGCCCCTCAGCAATAGAGGCAAAGGCCCTGGGATCTACGCCTCTCCCTCTCCTCCAGGGAAAGCCAAGCTCACACTACCTGCATGGGTTCGGGATTGTAGACGGCGCTGAACACATCCCTGCCACTGAACCTTGGACCCTTGGCTCCTCCAAGTGTGTGGGTAGACGTGACCCGCCCCGTTCACCCATAGGGCCAACTCAATGGGTCCGTTGAGTGAAGTTGGGAGGTCCAGGAAGTCTTTGGATGCAGTCAGCCAACCCGTGCAGGAACATGTCCCACTGTGCCTCCTCGTTCCATTGACACTATGTCACTAGGGTCCGGAATTTGATTGAAACCGATCTCTGAAACCGATCTCTCTCCTTGACGCAGATCGGCCAGTACTCCGGCCGCCCCTCTCCCGGGAACAACCCGATCGAAAACCTGCCTCATGTCGGTGGAGAGTGTCTGGAACGAGGCTCAGCATGGGTCTTGGTTCTCCCACACCGCCATTCCCCGTAGTGCCGCTCTCCCAGTCAGCAAAGTCAGCACAAATGCGAACTTGGCCAGCTCTGTGCTGAAAGTCCTGGGTTGGAGGGCGAAATGCATGCAGCATCTAGTTAGAAACACTCTACAGTAAGTAGGCTCACCAGAATAAGACTCAGGAACTGGTAGACGGGGCTCAGACTGGGGAGAGTCCTGTGGTGATGTGGGGGGAACGGCTGTTGTGGGCGAAGCAGTGGGAGCTCGCAAGTGTTGGATTTACTGGGTGAGCTCGGACACCTGCGCCAACAGGGAACAGACAGCGCAACCCGTATCATTCAAATTTCTCTCCTGAGAATCCATCCGGCGGATGCTATGGTGAACAAATTCCTCTAGTGATGCCGATGAGACACTCGCAGCTTCCATTGCTTGGTCAGATCGTTCTGTCATAATAGAAGACAGGAAGCAAATGCAAGTAGATCAGTTTATTATGTGGAAGCACAAAAGTCCAAACAGGAGAGTGAAGATGGATGGCGCAGGGACTTTGATGGTCAGACCCAGACAGCAGGTGCAGTGATGAAGTGAACCAGTGAAATGTGATGGTAATCCAAAAACACAGAACAATATCCACAGAGAACACAGAACAGGAACACTGAAGCACAAGACTGGAACACCGACACAGGAGACATCAAACAACGATCTGACAAAGCGGATAAGGTAACGGTTAGTATATAAAGGGTTAGGAGATTGATTGCAGCTGAAGATGTGACCACGATCAGCTGACGCAGATCAGACAATGACACTCATTCACATACACAACAACAAACACAAGACGAGAAGGAAACAATGTATTTGTATACTGTGACAGGAACGATGGGGGAGAGTAGGAAAAGTTACCTTTTTTCTAACCATCCAAATGATTTGTAAATGGTTTTATTAAGTTGAAATAGTTTCCAAGTTGCATTAAACACAGAAGCTCAACCAAAACTGCTTGACACGCAAGAACCTCTTGCAGAAGCTCAAATGCGCTGTGTTAAACACAAGAATGAAGCTCATTGGTTCTCGCACGTCAAGTGAATGTTTATATGTGAATTTAACCCTTTCACACGTAAGTTTAAAATATTCTAACTGACCCCCCAGCGTGAGTTTTTCAAGGCGACCGTTATTTAGAACTTGCCACTTTAATGTTTAATGTGATCTGCTTTTGTGTCATTTTTCCTTTTTTATTAAAAATATTCAAAAATGTATTAGCTATAACATGAAAACACCGATATTCCGATTGTCAAATATGTGCAAGTGGATGGGTTTTGTTGTTTAAACATCTTTATAACGATCGCGTTAGTTGAGCTGTATGCACAACGGGCGGTGCCATTTTAGTTTCTTTTTCAGTTCAGAGAATCAGAACTGTTGGATTTACAATGTCAATTCCTTCACTTCTCACGAAATACATGATAGTAAGTGGCTGGTGAACTGAGAGAAGAATAGGGTCATATGTAAAGCTACTTACACAATGTGTATCTGATATGAATAAAACGTGTTGTTGTAACTGAAAGGATTATTGCCGCTTCCATAGATATCAGTGTGTATTTTACAAACTCAAAATCATT